CGGCGGGCCGTGTGGGGCCGGAACTCCGCGGCCGCAGAGCGCGCCCAGGGACGGGCTGCCTCGCGGCCGCCAGGGCCGTGGGCTTAGGCTCCCCGCGGGCCGCGCCGAGACGGCCCGAACCCAGAAACGCAGGGGGCCTGCGTGCTGACGTCTGCTGCGCGCGCGTGTGCCCGGGTCCGTCCCGCCCCTAGACAAGCAGCGATGTCGGAACTGCTGGTCGAAGCTTGGGCTTGGCGGCGCTCAGTGGTGGTCGTGACTAACTCAGCTCTCATTAACTCCCTTGTTCGTGCTTAAAAAGTTTCTTCCTTTTTGGGGCTGGGGGGATGGCTCAGTGGAATAAGCGCTTCCCTGGTAAGCGCAAGGACCTGAGTTCAATCCCCGGTTCCACAAAAAAAAAAAAAAAACCCAAAAAACTTCTTCCTGTTTGGCAAGGTTGTTTTTGTGGTGATGGCAGTTCAAGATTATTTGACAGAACGAGAAATTGATCGTTAGTATTACGGTTAAGACTTGGTGCAACTATCAACTTTTTAACTTTTGTTTTGCTTTTTGGGACAGGGTGGTCTCACTGTGTCGTTCAGGCTGGCCACGAACTCTTCAGTGAGTCTCCTGTCTCAAACTGACCCCTGCTGAGATCACAGGTGTGGCCCACCACACCCTACAACACCTTTTAGTGTCGTCTCCGATGGTAAAGCACTGTTGAAACAGTTTTTTGTCCCAAGGTATTATACACATGCTTGAAAGGGAAATAATTATTCCTGGCTTTGGATTCTCCTGATGAGTGCCTTGGGAAAAAGAAAAGCTCTTGCTCTGTTGTTTTTATTTTTATTTATTTATGTGTTTGAGAAAGGGTCTCACTATCTGGTTTATGCAGACCTTGAACTCACTGCATAGCCCAAGTTGGCCTAGACTTGGTGGAATCCTCCTGCCGAGGCCTGTAGAGTGCTGGGATTTATAGGTGCCTGCCACGATGACTGGGTTTCTCTTGATTGGTTTGTTTGTTTGTTTGTTTTTGCGGAACCAGGGATTGAACTCAGGCCCTTGCCAGGCAAGCGCTTATTCTACTGAGCCATTTCCCGGGCCCCTCTCCCAGGTTCCTTGATTCTATTTTAGGCTTACAACACAATCAACAGTATTCAACTAATACCTTTTTTTTTTTTTTTTTCCTAGATCATGGTATGTTTTGAATCTAACAAATCATTGTTATGATTGCATTTACTTATTTTCAATTAGTTATTTTAATCATTGCTTTTAAAGTGGATCCATGCTAGGTTACATTGTGTTGCATCTTTGGTAAATGCATGTGGATACTAAAGAGCATTCCTGGGGGCTGGCCAAATAGCTCAGCGGATTAAAGGGCCTGCAAGCAGGTGCAGGGGCCCGGGAGTTCCATCCCCTGGCCTACCGGGCCTGGTGGCACACACCTGTAATCCTAACACTTGGGAGGCTGTAAACAGGAGTCCGATCTAGTAGTGAGACCCTGAACACCCTGTAGATCCTTCCCTAAAAATACAGGGGAAAGAAACCCCAAAACTAAACAAAACAGCATTCCTTCGGGGTGTGGTGGTGAACAGCTGTGATCCCAGCACTCTGGAGGGAGGGGCAGGTTTACCATGGCTTTGATGTCAGCTTGGCATACTTAGTGAGATTCTTTCTCAAGTAAATAAACATCCATTACAAGGATCTGATACAACATGCAAGGGTTGCACTCCTGGAATTTTACCCAAGGAAAACAAAATGTAGTATCTTATATTGCTTGGGGTACCACTTTCTACTGGTGGTTCTTCTTTAAACTCTTCTGCAGTGTCTGAATAACACAGTCAAGATGGTATCCTTCAAAGGGATTTTAGCAAAGTATGATGGTGGACATTTATCCTAGAACTCTGGGTATCTTAACACTCCCCTACCCAATTAATGCTGGGGAGTCAGAAGCCCTAGGTTTAACCCCCAGTAATATCCCTCCAAAAAGGCACAAGGTTTTTTTGTTTGTTTTTGTGGTACAGAGGATTGAACTCAGGACCCTGTGCTTGCCAGGCAAGCACTTATTCTACTGAGCTATCTCCCCAGCTTGCACAAGGTTGTTAATGAAAAAGAAATTGTTTTATGTTGGTACTGGGGATCAAACCCAGGGTTTCTTTAACACTAAGCTTTATTCTCAGCCCTTTTTATTTTTTATTTATTTTAGCCCTTTTTATTTTTAGTTTCAAACAGGCTCTTAGTTGTCTAGGCCCAACTCAAGCTTTCCATTCTTCTGCCTCAGTCTCCCTAGTGCTGAGATTACAGGCTTGTCTCACCATGCCCAGTTCTGAAATACATTGAAATCATGCACATCTTGTGCTTCCTGAGATGGCTGTTGAAGCTAAGTCCTCATTTAGGGGCTATATCTGATACAACACAGTGTCTCCTGTGGAAAGGCATGCAGAAGAGCTCCTCAGTAGTCATTCCATGGAAATAATTAACATGAGTATCATTATGTACTGGCCTCAAGCCTTCAGTCCTGCTACAAACTCTGGAGTTCTGGGATTGTAGGTAAACCGCTCTGCAGGCCAGGTCTTTTTTCTTACTTATTTCTCATTTTTTAAGTGCTGGTGATGATTGGTGACTGGCACAGGGCATGAGGATGCTAAGCACATGCTCTGCCACAGAGATAAGTCTCCCAGACCCACAACCAGGGTTCTTTAGGTTTTTTTTTTTTTTTTTTAATGTATTTGATACAGGGTCTTACTACACAGCTCAGATTTATAGTGATTCTCCTCCTGTTTTCAGCTTCCTCAGTGCTGGGATTATAGGCATGCACTACCATACCTGGTCTCCCCAGGGCACAGCTTGTGGTACATGGGGTGGAACCCTAATTGATGCACTTGTCTAAGCAGGCGCTTTGTCCATTGAGCTATCTCACCAGCCCTAGGGTTCTGTAGTTTCTAAGATGTGTGTTCCTTTGTTTGTTTGTGTGTTTGTTTTTTCCAGAACTGGGAATTGAATTTAAGCCCTTGTGCTTGCTAGGCAAGTGCTTATTCTACTGAGCCCTCTCTCCATCCCCCCCCTTTTTTTTTTTGTTAAAAGTTTAAAATTTTTTTTTCTAATGTATTTAGTACTGTGTCTACAGGGTCTCACTACACAGATTGGATTTGTAGTGATCCTTCCTGTTTTTCAGCTTCCCGAACTCCTGAGATTACAGGCACACCACCCCAAATCTCACCAATCTACATCTCAGCATGCCCTGGGGGTGGGGCCACCATGCCTGGGGATTGAACCTGATTCCTGTGTCTGCCTAAGCAGGCGCTCTTATCCACTGAGCTATCTGGCGGCCCTTCTGTATTTATTTTGAGACAAGGTTTCATTGTGATTCAGGCTGACTTTGAACTCTCATTGAGCCTTCTTCAGCCTCAGCTCATTATTATTATTATTATTATTATTATTTTTTTTTTTTTTTTTGTGGAACCGGGAATTGAACTCAGGCCCTTACGCTGGACACGGAAGCACTTACTCTACTGAGCCATCTCTCAGGCCCTCATTATTTTTGTTCGTTTACAGTACATAATAATTCATCATGGCAAGTTGGTACATGTACATAACATACCCTAATTCTTTTTACTCTTGTCCCCTCCCCCCTTCACTCTCTTAGTTTCTTTCTTTCTTTTTTTGGGGTGGGGCGGAAAATATTTTTTTGTGGAATCTGGGATTGAACTCAGGTCCTTGCACTTACCAGGGAAGCACTTATTCTACTGAGCCATCTCCCCAGTCCTAAAGGCAGGAGGATTGTTTTTTTTGGGGGGAGCATCGTGATGCCTTCAAGTGAGGTCTGATTTGGCTTGAGGATTGGGAATTGAACCACAGCATCCTGAGCCTGACTGCTTTGTTTAAGCAGGCACTATTTCTGTTTTGTTTTGTTTGGTACTAGGATTGAACTCACAACTTCATGTTTGGTAGGCAGGCACTGTGCCCTGAGCTATATTCCCAGCCATTGGACCTGTGTTTTAAAGATATCTGCCCATTTTCTATTATGTCTTTTATCTTGCTCGCTCTCTCTCTCTTTTTTTTTTTTTTTTTTTTTTTTCAGTACCCGGAATTGAACTTGGGACCTTGTGCTTGCCAGGCAGGCACTTATGCACTGAGCCATGTCCCTGGCCCCTATCTTGCTCTCTATATTTTGAATTTGTTGTATAAGAGACACCATGGAATACTTACACAAAAAATTATCATTTATTTATTTGGTATAGAGTATACAGCTCGGACTCATAGTGATCCTCCTGTCTCAGCCTTTTCAGCGCTGGGATTACAGGCATGTACCACCATGCTCAGTTTTGTTGGCCAAGCACATGTGCTTGTGGTTCTGGGGCTGGCGTGGCATGTGGTATCTGGGATAGAGCCCTGCTCCTTACACTTCCCGGGCAGGTGCTTAGCTGAGCTATCTCCCCAGGCCCACCAAGCAATTATTATTTTTTTTTTTTTTGGTGGAACTGGGAATTAGACTCAGGCCCTTGCGCTTGCCAGCCTCCATTTTCTTTATCCATCTGTTGATAAACAGGCTGCTTCCAAGTTAGAACTGTAATGGATTGTATCACCAAAAATATAGATACACTTGTGTCACTCTAATATGATGTCTTTAGCTGTTTCAGAAAGATTTCTAGGGGCCCGGGAGATCGCTCAGTAGAGTAAGCATTGCCTGGTAAGCGCAACGGCCTAAAGGTTGATTGATTTCTGGAATGGAAATAGTCAAGACAAACGGGATTTCATTTTTTTTGGTTTTTTTTGTGGTACCAGGGATTGAACTCAGGACTTTGTCCCTGCCAGGGAAGT